ATCAACACGCTACCGGTGTACCAGGCTTGCTATTACCTTGATCGGCCAGATCAAATACAAAAAGACGTGTAGTGTTAGGCCAAGCGATCCTGATAAACATTGTAGGATTTCGATATTTGAGATGACAGTAGAAGCTAAGCCTACCGCCAGATGCCTTGCTCGAAATCGTCGGCCTCCAACGCCCAACTAAGTGGATACGGGCTTGCGACGATAGAAACCCCGTCGTAAATCTCGTCTTCGACAGTTATGTAGTCTCCGGTATACAGGCTGCGAATGGAATACCCCTTCCCAAGAGGCGAAAATTCCCACTTTGTGGCGTCTAAGTAGATTATCGACATAACAAAAACTAATACATACCTTTTGGTTGGGCCCTTCATGTGGAATAAACCCTGATGACAACGAATAAACCTAGAAAGTTATGGCCAAAAAGTTGATAAAGACCTGAGATCGATTTGCGGTCGGTTCCCGAGAGATCGATGGTGGTGCCGCTGACGAAATTGAAGATTTGGTACACCCCAGGCCTCAATTTGTGATCGACATTCTGACTCGCCATGGCGGGGAGGCCAACTGTCAGCGATGTCAGGCAGAGCTATCACGCAAACTCGGAGAATGAAAGGGCCACCATGATAAACTAGACAGGAAAACGTGGATGGAGCGTGTCGTCCTCACGGATCTTGATCCTATATCAGGAATCAAGAAGTTCCAATCCCAGTCTGTGCGTGAGTTCTCATGACGTTCAAAATCGATGTCGGAATGTAATCCTTGGGGCTGCCTACATTTCCATTATCTGATTTCGATCTGCTTTTGCCTTTGGAGCTAGGAATCGAAGGGTGCTGAACATAGATCGGGAAACTATCGGGGAGCGTTTTCGCAACGATACGGCAGCCTTTCATACGTTCTACAACTTGTAGTAACGTTTCACAATACGGTTCTGGCATAAAGTCAATCAGAGAGGTGAACAGAGAAATAAGCAAAAAAAGTGGAGTGACTAATAGTTGATGCTTACCTTCCGCTAATCTGTCACCACAACGGTTTTCAGACAACCAAAAGAGAAGCAAGACATAGCAGGACATAGCTCCATTCTAGCGAACAACCGCTCATTATCCGCGGTCATGCTCCATCAGGAAACGGTGAGGCGAAGTTAATCCCATAATCCGGAGCTGAGCGTCATGTCCTCTGGAAATAAAAGAGTCGTTCGTACTGATCCTGCAGCCTGCAAACTGCTGGGCTTGCAAGACTGCTTAAAGTTATGGGAGTCGTTGGGGAAAATCTGAATAAGCGCCACTTCACGCGTGAGAAAGCGCCGAGAGTGGCAGCTTATGTAATAAAAAGTGTGATGGATGGGACGCGAAGGCCTGAGAATTCGAACGGACGAGGATCCATCTTTTTTGTGGACGACGTGCGTTGGCACTTCATTGTTTCTACACGACCGACCACCAGGACGACGACTAACGTTTTACTTCCCTGCCGGCACTTCTTCCACTGAACTTGCACCTTCCCGTTCCATTTTACAGTCGAGCCATAATTCAGGTTGCATCTTTCACCGCCGCGCGCCGCCCACATACCACACCTGTGCCAGACCTCTGTCTTGCGCCAGATACCACGTCGAACCAATCCTCATATTCCTGCCAAAATAGATGTCTACTGGGCATAAAACCGGACAGGCTCTCTTCCTGGGTCTCGAGCTGGCCACGGACCAGCTGCGGGCGACAATTGTTGACGAGAGTCTAGAGCTTGTCGGGGTGGAGAGTGTGGATTTTGATACGGAACTACCGGAATACCAGTGCGTACATATCTTGTGTCATTTTTCTTCCTTTCCTCTAATCTGTGTTCCTCCCTCTTGCTTCGTCTGGGGTCTTCAGAACACAGGGTGGAATTTTCACGACACCCGGGGATGCTTATACTACTCCTGTGGAAATGTGGATCAAGGGCCTTGGTGAGTCAAAGGTTCCATGGCATTTTACGACGTGTGCAGGCGAAACGGAACCAAAATTTTTGGCGTCCAACTGATTCGCTCGATTTGGCACAATCTCCCTTTACACGTGTCCGATCTCGATCACTATTCTGACTCACGTGACATTTTATAATAGACATGCTCCTCGAGAAGCTGTCTCGAAACCACGATTTGTCAAGGATAAGGTCCATTGGAGGAGCTGCGCAAGTACGTGAAGACGGATATTCTATCTTTTATGTACTCACGACTTTGTTTTAGCATGCTCTAGTCTGGTGGAAATCTACGACTGTACCATCACTCTCATCACTAGACCCTCACATTCTCCTACACAATCATTTCCCTGCCCATTCCTTTTCTCTTCCCACTACACCCATCGCACTAGACATCTCCTCACACACGCATGCGCTCGCGATTGAAGCTCTCCTGGGTGGGCCAGATCACATGGTCAACCGAGTTGGCACATGTGCTAACGCATCCCTGGTCGCCGCTCAGCTCTTGCGGGTCCGGGAAAGCTGGCCACAAGATGTATGGGCGCGGACAGGCCGCGTTCAGCTTGCGAGCGCCTTCCTTGGCAGTTTAATTGCTGGTAAATGGATGAGTATGGGCGAGGCGGAGGCCTGCGCCACTGGCATGTGGGTGCATGGTGCGAATCCGAGTTCAGTCAATGCAGGACAACCGGGCGCATCAGGATATTGGGACGAGGGTGTTTTAGACATTGTCGGCGGTAGTCGGGAAGAAGGAAGGAGGGTACGAGGTTGGCTCGGGGATGTGGATGTTTCTGGGGGTGGAAGACGTGCTGGAAATGTTTCTCGATATCTTGTGGAACGCTATGGATTTGAATCGGGTATGTGACAAGCATTCTGACTTAGTGATATGTACTGACTTCGAGACAGATGCGATCGTAGCTCCGTTTACGTCAGACTATCTATCGTCTTATCTCTCGCTATTGCCTTCTCAAAACGATGCTGTGCTCTCCTTTGGACCCATGGATGTACTGCTGACACCAGCACAACATTATATACCAACACGCCTCTATAATCTGTTTCCACATCCGGCCCAGGACCCTGGGGAGAAAAGGAAATACATTGCCATGTTATCTAGCAGAAACGCGGACGTACCAAGAGCTCTGGTCCGTGACATGTACACAAAGAGCTGGAGTGCGTTCGATCGGCTGGTCGCCATTGTGCCTCCTGGCGGTTCAATAGGGTGAGTTCTCCAGCCCGTCATACGATCGAAACTTCTAACACCTAAGCTTCAGACTCGATGACAAGCTGTTCAGTTTCTGGTATCTCCAGAACGACAGCTTCCCCTTCTCACATGTCAAAGGCATCTACCGCTTCGAGACTGGCATCAAAGTGACCGAGTTCCGCGACCTCCGTGCCAACCCCCGGTGTCTCGTCGAATCCCAAATCCTCGCTTTCCGCGTCAAATGGTCCCGCATGCTCGCCACAGGCGTCCTCGGCACCCCACGCAAACCTACCTCCAACCCTAGCTCATCTTCCCCAGCCCCACAAGCACAGCCACATGTTCGAGCGTCAGCGCTTATGCTGTCGAGCCTAGGCCTCCCCTTCGACCCCTACGACTTCACCCCGCTTCCCACGCGCGTCCTCGCCACTGGCGCCGCTGCAAACTTCCCTTCCGTCGCGAACCTTGTAGGCGACGTCTTTAACGCCTCTGTGCTCGTGCCCTCCTCCCAGGTCGAGGCAGCGCAGGTCAGCCCGCACCGCAACGCGCCCGCCCGTGGCTTCCCCGGGCGAGCTGCACTCGGGGCTTCGTATGTTGCGCGGTGGGTATGGGCGAGGGATCGGGACGGTATGGGCGTGGGGTTGGTCGGGTTCGAGGAGGAGGGGCGGAGAGTGCTGGGGAAGAGATGGGTGGCGACGGGTGGGGCGGCGCTGCGGACGAATGTGAATGGTTTGGCTGCGGCTGGAAGCAGTGTCGGAGCGGGGAGCGCGGCTGGCACGTCATATAGTCTCGCCGGTGCTGGTTTGAGCGCCAGCACGGGTGTGGGAGGAATTGGAAGTGGTCGATCAGGGCTTGGACTGGGCGCGACGGTCTTTGTGGAAGAGGAGGAGGATGAGGAGCTTGAGCGCGAGCGAAGAGAGCGAGAGATGCAGGATCGTATTGGTCTTGGGCTGGGTGGGGTTGGTGTGATTGGAGGAGGAATGTACGGTGCTGGAAGCACCTTCGGTTCTGGTTCTACTGGAGTGGACCTTGGCTATAGCTCCAGGGTGCGGACGCAAACGGGTTCGACGGTGGACTCGCTAGGGAGCCTCTTGAGCCCAGGGTTATCTGCGCCTTCGACTGCGTTCACGACGCCTGATACGAATCTCCTATCTGCGGGGATGATTGGCGCGAATGGTACGGGTAGCGGGGCACCCACCAGCCCGACACCGTTAACACCAGTTGTTGCACTACCAACAGCGGATGTCGAGGCCCAGATGGGGCTGGCGAAGGTGGCTGAGCCGGATGTGGATGCTTTCATGACCTATGCAGCTATCGTGCCTGAGTATTGTCGCTTGGAGGGGATGCTGGTGAAGGGGATCGTTTGAGGTCCAGGGATTGTGAGAGTGGACACTACGTTGTTTGAGTTTCCCATTCCTCTTGGTTGTTTTCCCTATGCCATGCTCTTCCTTTTATTTCCTTGTCCATACTTGTTTTCCCGTCGCTTCATCGCTGGTGCTTTCCTGTTTTTTCCTTGCGATCATGTCAAATAGTCCTCATTTTTACTCCTTTCTCTTTATGTTTTGCGCTTTACGAACCTCACCCCTCTGCAGCAGCAAAAGTAGAACATATACATGCGGCTGTACTGCGCGCTCCCCCGTAATACTCGTCATAGGTACTCATATTTATCCAGTCAATGCCACAAATTTTATAGATCTCAAGCGATGTGTACTGAGGTGGAATGTAGCACCGCGAGGTGTATATTCACCTTAAGAAGTGGCCCGTCACTGACTAGTACTGATTTCCTGGGCTGCGGACCTGTGAACAGTCGCATACTGAAGTCTGAGTGTCTGATGAAGATTGTGCAAAAGAAGAAAAAAGTCTCTCTGCCTGGGAGTCGAACCCAGCTTTCGCGCGTATAGAGGCATACATGACAAGCGCGTGTACTAACCGATATACTAGCAAAGACGCTGGAGGAGGGAAAATTCTTGATTATACGAGCAATGTTCTCGATGACCTAGCGACATGATTCAACTATTCAGGTCTCTACAGTGACTATGTAACCCTTCCAATTCGAATTTCTGGGGTTTAGGACGGCCATTCATGGCGGCAACGCCAATTCTCGTCATCCCGAAATCGACTGTCACATACATACGTAACTGTAGTTTTCTTCGAAACGTCAGTGATTATGAGAGCTGGTGTCTTGGTTTTGTGCTTGATGGAAGCTTTCCAAGATGGAGCCTATGGAAGCGCGTACTAGGATAAGAGCCATGGAAAGAAAATAGGGTTTTGAGAGATGCGTATTGCACTGGAAAAGTGTGGGTCAGATAATGACTCGACAGAGGATTCCCATCCCTATTTAAACGAATGGAGGAGTTTCTATGCGCAGCCTAAATGAAGCATAAACGCGTAGTTTTTGATTGCTAGACATACACTCGGTGCGGAGCACGCGCAGCATACTCATCATTAAAACCTCTAGCAGAACGAGTTTCTGTAAGAGTAGGAATACATAGATGACAAAATACCCACTGCTGGATAACTTTGGTCGTGACCAATGTGCTAGCAGAGTGACGGACAGTGGAACTCATCAGAAATAGGAAGTCGGACGGCTGAGATGAGCCATAGTAATCAAGACTGCAACTCCTTCAGTTTCTGATCGACATAATCAATAGACCGAGCTGCTTGGTTTTGAACAACCTACCTCCCATCATGTTCAGCGACGATCCTCATCATCCTTTCGTCTTAAAACATATAACTCATCCTAACCCGCAAATTACTAAAAGCCCTTATTAAAACTCCCAAACACATACCCAGCGCTGACTGCTACTTTCCTAAGCATCGACGGCGTTCCAAGCCTTCTCAGCCTCCAACAATCCATCGACCGCGCCATCAATCGTCTCCTTCCAGGTGTGGTACTTCTCCATCCCAAGGACTGTCCTGGCACGCGTCGCGTCAATAGTAGAGGGGGGACCGGGAAACGCGGGAAACGTGGCATCAAGCGCGGGGAGACGGTCCTTGAGTTCGGGGCGGGTCTGATGCAAATACTCGACCACGTCCTTCCAGATCAAGAAGCCGCCAGAAATAAGGAAGCGTTTCTCTTCAACGCTGGAGACGCTCTTGGGCGCGAGTAGCGCCGCAACGTGTGCCTTGGCAACATCACGGACGTCACAGAATAACGGAGGAAGAGGAGGCGGAATGGCACCCTTGAACAGGGTATAGATGTGCTGATTAGTGCTCATGGTGCTCTGCTCTGGCAGGGGGAAGCCGGGAGCGAACTGTCCGTAGATAAAGGGCGGGGCGACTGGAGAGTAGCCATGAGCTAACGTCATATATTAGGTGGTCTTGTGGCTTACCGATCGAGAGATCCAAGGAACGCTCTGATCCCGCGAACTTCCAAGCCACGCGTTCGGCGAGGGTCTTGGCAGCGATGTAGGTCCATACGGGATCGTGTTCTCCGGCGAGTAATTCATCTTCAGTGACGTTTCCCCAGTCTGAGGTGATCAGTCAGTATCGATGTATGTCGGGATATAGGATCCAACCTTTCTCGGTGCTGACATGGCCATCGAAGGCTTGCTTGAGAGTAGCTGTAAGGCAATATGAGATCAGGAATGCAAGGATATCGCGTCAGATGGACATACGATCGATACTCGAAGCCCAGCTTCCTGTCATGACGACTTTGGTGACACCATTCTTGAGAGCCTGGCGAAGGACGTTGAGGTAGCCTTCGACGGCGATCTTTTATGGATGAATAGGAAACTCAAATCGCGAATCTGATAGCTTACATTTAGGCACTCCTTGGGACCGGGTCCTTTGTGGGGCCAGGGTGATGCGACATGTATGATGGCATCGACGCCTGAAAGTGTCCAATGATTGAATCCGGAGACAATAAAATAATAGAAAGGATGAAGGTACCTTTCAAGGCGTCAGTGAGGTCTCCAGTGCCAACATCCTCAACTTGCACCACCTCGAGAGCAGGAAACTTGGAGCCGAAAACGTTCCTGAAGTTATCGATCTTGCCGCCGCGGAGGGTGCTAATGGAATGGAAAACATCATCATGGTTTGAAAGCAATGCTTGAGTTACAAAGACCCACCCGCGAACTTTATAACCAGCCTCGATGAGTTGCAAGACCACATGGGATCCGACAAACCCGTTGATGCCAGTTACCTGGATCAAGAATGAGAAGACTGTGATTAGAGCCGCTGAAGTCGACGCACCAAGATAAGAGTCATCGATAGAGAATTCGATAATGGGGGTTTGATAGATGAGTGTTAGATTGGGAGAAGCGTGAAAGAGATGATGTCTCGAACGGAGTTTCGCATTCCTATTTAACGGAAACGAGTAGGCCGAGCGCAGCGGTGCAGCCAAGAAATCGATGAAAGTTGAACAAGGGCCTGATCCTCGAAGCCTCCAGATCTCCGGATTGAAACCCTGGATCACGGGGAGTTTCGTCTGCCGAGTGGAGAACTGCGGTTTGACTCCCAGAGGGCGAGTTGGCCATGAATTCTGCATATGTCTCGTGTTTTTAACACTATCTGGTGAGTACATGTGTGTACCGCGGGCCAGAGTCCTTTGGACGATCCTGGACGTGAGAGAGATTCTATCGGGTCCCATCTTCATGACCACTTTGCATACCGCATTGCATTGGTACATGTTGAGGTCTAGATATCGGGGAACAATTAATTTCATTTCGGGGGAGATGCACTTCGGGGGAGATGCGACCAATCCAAAGATCATGTCAGCATGAACCCAAGGAAAGGGCAGCTGAGTTAAGCGAGTGCACACGAAGACCGCATGTCACAACAAAACACATTCAGGTCAGACACCAGCCTTATACAACGTATATATGACACACGCTGCAGCGAAGGCTACAACGCTACGAGCAGTTTTCAGCGGGATCTGTACGCCGAAAAAAGTTGCAGGCGGCCCTTTGGCACCTGCAAGGTCGATGGCGGCGATTTCTTCGTCTGTTAGAGGAGCTAGTCACAAATTAGTACAGGGGAGGCGATGGAGAATCGAGTAGAGAAGGGACATACGAAGATCAGCGACGGCGAGGTACTCTTCGAGGCGTTCCTTCCTCGAGCTCGTCCTGCGCATGCATGATAAGTGGTCAAAAGCTGCAAGATCAACAAGTGGTACTGACGTCACGATCACGACGCCCTTAGCTTTCGCCCAGGCCAGGATGACCTGTGTTGGTGTGATACTGAGCCTTTTGGCCGCGGCGTTGACGGGGGCGTCTACAGGCCCACCAGGGTGCTTGGTTATGGGGCTGTGCGAATACTCAGGTCAGATGAGGTGGAATGGAGAGTTGGGACTGCGGAGTATGTACGTGAGACTGCTGTAGGCTTCGATGACGATGTCATGCTTGGCAGAGTACTCGAGAATCTTCTTCTGCTCTGCATAGTTGTAGGGGTGGAGTTCAATCTATGGTTGAGGGGCGAAAGGTTTTGTTGATGAAGCATGTATATGCAGCAAGAGTAGATACGGACCTGGTTGACGGCAGGCTTGACTTTCGCGACCTTCATGATCTTCTGCATCTCTTCAACATTGAAGTTGCTGATGCCGATGCTCCTGATTGACGTAAAAGGCGTCAATGACGTCCAGGAAAACAGGGAGTGTAGACATTACCTCGTCAAACCATCCTCCTTGACCTTCTCAAGCTCTTTCCAAGCACCTTCAAGGTCGTGTAACACGGTAGCGGGTGTGTGAATGAGATAAAGGTCGGTGGACTTGATACCGAGCTGTAAATGCCTTTCCAATCAGCAACGGAAGCTTGCGACCCGACGGCGACACCGTGTACTGACCTTCGCCAGACTGTCGCGAACACTCTCTTGAATAGGTCTGGAGAAGTACTTTGTGGTAATGAACAGCTCCTCTCTTGATAGCCCGCTCTCCCGAATGGCTTCCCCTACGCTAGCTTCGTTGTGGTAAACTTTGGAGCTGTTGATTAGCGCTGGGTTGGTCCTGAACGCGGAAGGAATACTCACTTTGCGCGGTGTCGATGTGAGAGAAACCTGTTTCTATGGCCTGCATGACAATGTCCCTCGCACTGCTATTCTTATTGACCGAGCCTGTTCCAAAGGCTATCGCAGGTATCTGAGAGCATAGGTGAGTTCCTCAACCTCGGACATGCGGACAAGTATGGCGACGACTGACTTCATTCCCATCGTTGAGTTTCACTGTTCCAAAAGGCATACCGATACCTCAATACACCACTATTCGTACACGGATGCAGGGTCGCAGAGGAAGAGAGCAGGCTGGAGGACCATGATGGGCGTTGTGAAGTCCATATTTTGCATATCTGCCTGTCGGGCAGATCCGAACACTGACACGCTCAACATATCTATAAATACATTCGTTATCCGTCTCTGCAACGACACAGACAAGTTTCGGAGATTTCGCGCGTCGTATATTTGGCAGTCAATAATATGAAAATCGCGCTCAAAACTTATTAGTGGCTGCCCTTCTCTCCTCATAGTTCGCCACCTGCGTTTGAATGACGTATGGAAGCATAGATCCTGGCTGGTCGCGAACAGTGCATAACGCCATGGGCAAGTAGACCAAACCACCGCTTCACCGGAAAGCGTATACATACATCCCAACTCTAACCAAAATGTATACGGCACATACTGCAGCAACTGTGGAAAAACCACACACAACTTTGCGCGAGACCTTGCGGATGAAAGATGTGGAGGGTGGACCTTTGGCACCGGCATCATCGATGGCTGCAATTTCTTCGTCCGTCAAAGGAGCTACAGCCATGGAATTATGAGCATCAGTCGATGGGTGGCGGAAAACACTTGGCTAGAGAAACGACATACCGAGATCAGCGACGGCGAGGTATTCCTCGAGATGCTTTTTCGTGGAGCTTGTCCTATAGGTATTAGAATGGAATGGGCGTAAGTGGGAAGCCGAATGTGCTCGGACAAGTAGTACTGACGTGACGATTACAACGCCTTTTGCCTTCACC